CTCTTCATCCTTAATCCCACTGAATCTGCATCTTTATTTCAAGTGTTGATATCAGATTATAATAAGAAACAATGGAATCGATACCGGTATGGTCCAAATGTTGTGATATGCATGGTTCATGTGGGGCCTATGGCAACTGTGACTCTTACAACTATGCGTACTTCAAGAGTTCCTCTGCCTACCTGGTTTTGAACCCAAAAATCTTTAGTAAATGTTAATATGAACATAAGCAAGAAAGAATGTGAACGGGAGTGCTTGAGAAACTGTTCTTTTAATGTCTATGCTTCTGCAGATGTGAGAAGTAGATGTCAGATGGTGTTTAAGGTTCACGGTGTGACTGTGAAGGGGAGAAGAAGCAATTTGATGAGCTTACGTTTCTTTTATTATTATTATTTCAATGCTGAGTTGGAATTTAAAAGCCAAATATTCAATTTTTTTTAATGATATTAATGATATTTTTCTGCCATGTAAAATAATTCAACTTATAAATTATTGAAAGATTAGGCATCGAGTTATAGCCAAATCAAAAGTATAGGGACTAAGTTTTACCGAGTTAAACTTAAGAGACTGAATTATAAGTGAGTCAAAAGTACAACGACTAAAAGATTATTTTTTCCTAAATAATTTTAAATGATGGCAAAAAAAATAATTTTAACTGGGATTAAGGTGCAATTTAATAACAAAATTTACCATAAGGGGTACTGGACATCATAAAGTTTATTTGGATGCAAAAATATATATGAAGTTGTCAAAAAGGTGCATTTGGCACTATGCTGTTAATGTCTGTTAGTTTACCATTAGTGGGATCCATGAAGTCAATTTTAAGGTGCATTTTTAACCACAAAGCTTATATCAAGGGATACTAGATATTATAAAGTTTACTTGCATGTAAAAATATACATAGATTTTCTAAAATAGGAAAAAATAACAAAATTTATCAACTCCTATAAATATCCATTGAGTCCCACCAATTGTCATATTTTCTCTTCATCCTTTCCAACTTTGAAGTTCATCCATCTTTCTCTCAGGATAGTCAACATACTCTTTCTTTATCATGTCGTTTTCTCAGCTTTCAAGTCTTTTATATGCATTACTCAAGACGATGTCTTTCCTTTATAGGATATGAGGTTCATTACTTGAACCCAAGTACTACCTCTAGCTCTTAATATAGGACATAGTTGACTAATTTGAGGAGATTAAAAAAATTTAATAAATTAGTTTAAAGTATTATAGTTATCATTTTTCTCCAAATTAATTTTCTTGGCCTATAACCAATATATAATCTAAGCATATAAATATTTTAAGGAGATCTTCTAATATATGTTATAATTAAGTAATTGTTTTACTTCTTTAATTTTTTCAATTTAGTCCATTATACTAAGGAGAGGAGGAAGTGAAAATGAGTGGAAAGAAAACATGATATTTGGTAGGATCTAAAAGAGTAAGTTAACTAACGTTTATGCGCGTTAATAAATTTTGTTATTTTTCCCTTCTTAGAAAGTTTATGTATATTTTTATACCTAAGTAAACTTTATGGTACTCAGTGTCCTTTGATGTAAATTTTATTGTTAAAAATGTATCTTAAAACTTTGTTTATGGGCCCCACTAATGGTAAATTAATGGATATTAATAGTGTGGTGCTAGATGCCTGCTTTTAAAAACTTCATGTATATTTTTACACCCAAATAAATTTTGTGGTGCCTAATGCCCTTAACCCCTCTAAGTATTCATCGGATTATCAAATCAGCATCTTAATTATTTATAAATCCTGTTTGGTTATAATCAGAAAATCAAATAGGTTTCATTAGAGATTTACCATAAGAGAAGAACGGGCATTGGGCAAGTTAGTAGTAACTGTTGGAATCTGGAAATCTTGGAAATTAAGTATGAAATCCCACAAGGTGAACTCACAATTGAAAAATCAATAATTAAAAAAAACGTCATTGACAACAATTCACTTGGTTTTTAATTAGCGGCAATCAATATCAATTCAATGTAAGATAAAAAAAAATTGTAAAATAGTGTAACTATAATAATACTTTTTAATATCTCAAGCCCTATTTATAAGTATGGGTATTCATGGGACGAATCGGGAGAGAACAAAGACAACCCTGTCTCGATAATTGGGATGGAACCGTTTTTTCATTCTATGTCCCATCTTGTCCCAATAACATTGGGACAGGATATAACTAGGATAAGACAAGAACTTCTCATCTTTTTCTTTTTTTATATTTTTAATTTGAAAATTATATGAAGAAAATAGATAAAAATGCAGAAGCAATGGCAAAGAAAAATTATTTTTTGTAATATTAAGGGACAAAAAGTAAACAAACTTGAAATTTTCACTACATAGAATATCATGCAACCCATATGAAACGACTTATAAATAAATAAAAAAAATAACAATTGATAAATATCATTATTAAAATACTATTACAATGATAAATAAAATAAGTTTATGACAATTAAAAATAAAGATAATATATTAGTATGAGATCAGGATGGGACACTTTCGTCCTGCATCTCATCCCGTCCCGTTTTGAAACAATTTTGTCTCATTCGCTTTCGTCCCGTTCCAAAAACTTTTGAGGCAAGATTGTCCCCGTCCCAAAATGATTGAGATACGGATAGGAAGTTGGGCCGAAACAAAGCTGAACACTCCTATTTATAAGAAAATCTATGAAATATTTATTAAAATTATTTTATTTTTACAAATATACTACTCCTCCGGTCCTTAATATAGGATCCAATTGTTGAGTTGGTTTTGATCCTAAATATAAGACATATTTCTCGTATTTATCAATTTTTCTTAAATTACCCCTATGGATGCTTCCTCAACCATAATCAAATAGAAGAGAGAGCGAGGGTATTAAGAAAGATGATTATGGTATTTTAGGAAAAACGTGTCATATTTCTTATAATTAACTAACTTACCTAAATTTCTTAATCTAATCAAATTAGTTAAATGAGTCTTATATTAAGCACCGGAGGAGTATTATAATTACAACCTTACTCTTTCTTGAAAGGAATATATTTATGACTTAAGGATAAAGGCCAAAAACTTCAATAAACTGTGTAATTCTCGGATGTTAATTATATATTGCAGCTTCTTATAAGATCAAGAAAATCAGATAATTTTAACTGCTTTGTTTTTTCTCCCCCCTTATACATATGATTAAGTTAAAAAAATCTTGTAATTAAATAAGATCTAATACAGATAGTACTAAAACAACAGGTTTACTTGACGTTGCAGGACTAGTCCATTTAGACCTGTTCAAAAAATACCCCTACAATAAAGCCAGGCCCTTGAACTCGTGGGCTCAATCCCTCCCGCGGGCTTTAGGCCCGTTCAGGGAAAAGTCATTATTTTTCGCATATTTTCAAACAAACGGGCATAAGACAATAAAACTCCTAAAAAAAAAATATATAAAATTATTCACATTAAGTTATAAACACAAACATCATCAGCAAATTAGCAATGTTTACACCCAGCAATAGATATGATTTATCAATTTCTTAAATTTTTCCTTTTTCAAAAAAATTGAGAGGAAGCCATGATGCTGCGAATAGGTAGAAAATGAAAAACATAGAACAAAATGTCTTACTTTTTAATGAATTTCTTTGTTGGCAAAAGATAAAAAAAGAAAGAAATTGAAACACTACCATAGGCATGCATTTATTTGAAAGACGAATAGGACTAATACAGATTTTATTTTTTGCCTAACCAAAATTTCATTAAATTGTTGCTAATCACAATCACAAATCAGATTATTAGCATTTAAATTTTGATTAGCGCTCTACAACTATTAATTTCTAGTCTTCATACTTATACACAATACCCCATCCCAAGATTTGATTAAAAGTTCAAAAATTAGTTAAGTTGGATTAAGAGTTCAAATGAAATCATGTGTTTTCATGCACACATGCACACGCTCCGATTCTTGCACGTGTTAATTCTCTCAAGTTTTGCAGGAGAAAAATAAATTGAGAGAGAGAGAGAGAGAGTTGCAGGAGAATAATTATTAATCTCATTTTAGTAAAAAGAAATTGTTCCTCTATTTATAATTGTTTAATCCCGAGTTTGAAACCACAATCCCCATTTCATCTCGGGGTTATTATGAATGGGTGTGAGTATTTTGCTTCTATTATTCTGAAGTTTTTTTTGGGTAAAAAAAAGAAATAATAAAATAATGATATTAATATTCAGATTAGTTGAAAATGAAATTGCTACCTGCTAGGCCAGCCTATTTGATTTAAAGTCTTAGAATGCTAGTTTTTTTAAGTCTAATTTGCCTCTTGAGATTCCAAATCACGAATCCAGTCTTCAAATGAGTCGGGCCAATCCATTTTCTCAGCTCTAAATATAGTAGTAAATTACTCCCTCCGTTCCTTATTATAAGAGACAAATAACCGAAATACGTTGATCAAAAAAATAGTTAAAATTAGTTAAGAACAATTAATGTGTAAAAAATATAATTTTTTTCCAAAAATGCCCTCATTAATAAGGAGAGAGAGTATGAGAGAGAACAATTAAATTATTCAAAGAAAGAGAAGTGGAAGGGAGAGAAAGTGTGAGTTGGAGATAATAAATATGGATAAAATAGTAAATCAACACAAAAAAATAGAGACAACTTGTAAGTGTCTCTTATATATAGGAACATGCCATAAGCATCAAATGTCTCTTATAATAAGGAACGGAGGGAGTACTATTTTAAAAAAAAAAGGACTTAACTTCCTAACTATGAGATGGTATGGGAAGTGGGTATAAAAAAAAATTTAAATTTAAGGGCTTAGTTTCAAGTTGGGTTAAAATTTCTCTTACCTTTTCATTTATTATTAATTGGTAATGGTATATGAATAGAATCGTATTAATTGACGAGCAGGCATTATATTGAGATGGAAGATTAAGCACAGAAAAACAAAAGAACGGCTCGCCTTCCTTTGCCTCCAACCTCAACTCTCTCTCTCTCTCTCTCTCTCTCTCTCTCTCTCTCTCTCACATATGTTTCAAGTTTCTTCAACCCAGAAATGGTCTCAGAAAACTAAAGTTTTCTGAGAATCCTTCAAAAGAGATTGATTGATCTATCCATTCATTCAACTTATTCCATTCCAATCTGATCAGGTATACTACGTACTTCATATAGGTTTCGTATCATGCACTTTTGTTTGGTCGATATCGATAGTAAATAATTTGAATAAGGATCGGAATTTCTTTTAAGTTCTTTTAGGATGGTGAAGAAGAAGAATCCGGGAACGGCCGGCATCGCAGTCGGGTGCCTTGCGGCGGCGTTCGTGTTTGTTTTAGTGTTGGAGATGAATTACTCGCCGCCGTCCACGGTGAGGCCTATCAGACTGAGTCAAGCACATCATTCTCAAGCTGGCAATACAAGTCGTGGTAAGCATTCACTACACCACACGACATCGTCATTAATTTCAATATCTTTGAACTGTCATTTCCAACCTCCATATATTTTTTTGGTAAGAACTAATCTAATTTTCCTTTTTTTTTCCTTTTACAATATTGAGCATGTTAGCATAATTTATTGGGTTAAGATGTAAATCTACTCATGATATATTTTACGATAAACATTTAGTATCGTAAATATTTTTTAAGTATAAAAATATACATCAAGTTTTTATAATAATGCAAAAATGTTATGACTACGTCAGCTAACATTGATCATTTAGTGATCATGATATTTTTGTACAATTGTAAAAATTTCATGTGTATTTTTATATTATGTTAAAAAATTTTATGATATCTAATATCCCGAATGGAATACAGGAAGATTTGTATCCCAATCTCTTTTTGAGATTGATATCTTAACCCTAATTTATTTCCTGTCTGCTCTCATTTTGACAAAAGAAATTAGGATGTGAAATGTTGCGTAAATGCACGTTTAACGTCACAAACACAAAAGTATGCTTTAGCTCAGTCTTCAAAATTTGGTAACACGTGTCAGCTTTACAATTGCAAATACTTTTTTTTTCTTCACACTTTGAAATTAAATTAACTCTTAGTACAGTAGGGACCCATCATCATTGCCACCTTTAGAGGCAACGAATATGGCACATGTGAAATCTCTTCAATCATGTTATTGTATGTTGTCTGTGTGTATATAGACCTATTTAATTTAATTAATTTCAATAGTTTAAAAAAATTAAATAAAGTACTTATAAGTTATAATTCTAATAAATATGATGCGACCTCCTTAAAATATATATCCCTGCATATATATATATATATCAGTTTATAAGTTAGACAAAATAATTTTAAAAAATCATAAATATGATAGAATGATTAAGGTCTTATAATTAGTATCAAAGCTAAATCCCTAGCTAATTAATTAGCTTCAACATTTAGAATCGAAGGAGTATATATATCTTTTGATTTTGAATATATGAGTTAGATAATTAATTCTTTTTAATTTTTTTTGCTGGAAGCTAGATAATTGATTCATAAATTTGAAATTTAGCACAGTCAATTATTTATAAAAAAATATATGTTGATTTTAAAAAAAAATCTCTCTATATGAAAACTATCCCTGTTGTCTGAATTGATCAGTAGTGTATACAACCAATTGACGTGATTACTGGTTTAGGAAATAAAATAAAAAATGCGAAGTAAGTCTTATATTTAAAACAAAAACTTATTTTTTAACTAGTTGTTATATTCATAACCGGAGATAGTATAATAATTTTTAAATTATAATTTAGATCATAATATGGGTGAAGGTGAAATACACACACACATCCTGTGGGTATTGCCTAGAATTATACTATCTCTGGTCTTAATTATAAGATTTTGTTTATAGTCTATAAATAAAGTTTTATAATTAGAATTAGAGAAAGTATTATCCTTTCAATTTATGCTTGTGTATATTTTATAGATGTGTGTGTCATTATGTAACTAGTGCATATTAGTCAAAGTTTTGGCCAAAAAGACGGCAAGGATTTTTTGGGTCTAAAACTGGGGATGGCTTAACTGAATTCAGAAGCTTCAAGATTCAGAGCCATCATATATTTGACTTTGAAATGAATAATTGTACACATTTTTTATATGAGCAGCTGAGCTTGATTAGAAAGAGAAATTAATTCATTTTATTGTCTTTTCCATTTTTTTTAAAAAAATATAATCATGATTCCATATATGTACTTGACATTATTATATTCTTATATTAATTCAAAAAGAATTACATGGTATATATATTCGTATATATCGACTTTGAATTTCTTAAGCACATCACTGGTGAAATAAACAATTAATAAAAAATTTCGCATGAATATTTATTATTTATTTTATCTCTTTCTTTAAATAATCATAATTAAATTTTGCATGAACATTTATTATTTATTTTATCTCTTTCTTTAAATAATCATAATTTACTATCATTAATATGGCCTAATTATTAATCATAAATTAAGTAAATGCAGAATCAGGAGCGTCAAAAATAGGGATCCCAATGGGACCGACGGTGATCAAGCAAGAGCTGCGGGACCCACCTCCGTTGCCGCCTCCTATTGCCAAAGCAATCACATGCGATCGTTCTCGTTATTTCTATGACATTTGCTCCATTCATGTCCCAACTGTGTTGGACCCCACTATCTCCACTTTCTTCATCAACCATCCATTGGCCACCCATTCAACGGTTGAGAAAATTCGCCCTTATCCTAGAAAGTGGGAAAATTTCACCATGTCACGAATCAAGGAAGTCACCATCACAACTTCAAGCCAACCAATCCCGATTTGCCATGTCACCCATGTCTCACCGGCTTTAGTATTTAGTGCGGGAGGGTACACTGGAAACTTCTTTCATGAGATGAGTGATGGATTCATCCCTCTTTTCATCACCGTCAATTCTATTTTCAATCAAAATCAAGACGTTGTGCTTGTTATCTCAAAAGCTCGTGATTGGTGGGTTAGAAAATACATAACTTTGTTGCAGAAAATTAGCAAGCACCAGATTATTGTCTTAGAAAATGATACTTCCCTTCATTGTTTTCCCTCAGCCACTCTTGGCCTCATATCCCATGGATTTCTAGCCATAAATCAAGATCGAATGCCCAACTCAAAATCATTAGATCATTTTCACGAATTCTTAGGCGAAGCTTTTAGGACAAATAATAATGATCATTCTCTTATTATCCCCAGTAGACCTCAACGGCCACGTGTTGTGCTTATGAACCGGCCATATGGAAGCGGACGTGTGTTGTTAAACATGAAACAAGTCAAATTAGAATTGGAAAAAGTAGGTTTTGATGTCATTGTGTTTGAACCAACACCTACAACTCCATTACACCAATCTTTTGCACTCATTAATTCAAGTCATGCAATGATTGGCATTCACGGTGCAGCCCTAACCCATTTATTGTTTCTCCGGTCGGGAGCAACGTTCATCCAGGTAGTACCACTCGGAACAGAGTGGGTGGCTGAGGCATGTTTTGGGAATGCAGCTAGGGCAAAGGGATTGGAATATATAGAGTATAGGATTACGGCTGCAGAGAGTAGTCTCCTAGAAAGATATGGGAAGGAAGATATGATAATCAAGGACCCTATTGGATTCTTGAAGGGAAAATCTTGGTCAAGCGGAATGAAAATTTATTTGAAGGAGCAAAATGTGAGATTGGATTTGGCGAGGTTTAGGAAGTATTTGAAGGAAGCCTATCACAAGGCAAAAGAGTTCATGGATAATGAACCCACAAGACAAAATTGAGGGGAAATTAAACAATATTATTTCATGTGCATTAATGTGTATCCTTATTTAAAAAGAAATGTCTTCTTGTGTACACCAAAAAGAAAAGAAAGAAAGAAATTACTGTTGTTTTTGTGATTTTTATTTTTTATTTTTTATTTTTGTTTTCTTACGCATTAAATAAAGGATAGTCGACTAGTGAACGAGGAAAATAAGGTTGTGTGCCTCTCTCTCTCTATATATGTGTGTGCGTGTGTGTGTGTGTCTTTCGATGTGTGTGTGAATATGAGAGGTTTGCTTCAAATGGGAGGAGGCTTTTTTTATAAGTATTTTTTTAATAGGATAAAGTAGCATCTAACATTATGATATTATTTTCTAGTAGCATCTAACGGCCTCATCTTATTTATGGTAGATTTACGATCATGATATTATTTTTCCAGTGCATTCATCAAGTCCTAATATTATTATCAAATCATATATAGCACCTTAATCTTGTTTAAGATTGCAATGTTAGATGCATTACAAATAACATTAGGATGTTAAAAAAAAATCATAATATTAGATGTATCATAAATAAGATTAGAGTGCCACATGCAATGCAAACTTCTTTTTTCATTGTCATTATCTAGATCTATAGACCCACCCACTTACCTAACAAATGAAGGGGGAAAATCCTTTTACAAATTAACAGCAATTATTTTAAATAAAAAAATAACAAATGCTTATTTTAAATTCATACAAAAAATTTAAATTAAAAAATAATAATAAATGCTTATTTTCAAATAGAGCAAAAAAGTCCCTATAACATTGTTATTGGCTTTCAGCTTACAATGCTTTTTTTCCCAAATAACTTTTAGAACTACAAAATTAGCAACAAGAGTGTTGTGCTGGTGGACAATGGTCTTACTTCAGGTTTGGGCTTGCTGTATATTTAGGGCCTGTTTGGCAAGCACCTCAAATCATGGTTTTGAGACCCAAACCATGGTTTGAAAAAAATGTCAGCCAAACAGTCTATGAAAATATGAAACCATGGTTTGAGGGCAAACCATGGTTTCAAATCCCCTCCTTTAGTGAGAAAGTGTGGTTCTTACTACTAATCTCAAAAGCGGCGAACTGGACAACTTTACTTAGGGTCCGTTTGGATTAGCGATTAGAAAGGCAGTTTATTGTCTATTTGGCTTATGGAAAAGTGAAGTTGGGTAAAAGCTAAATTGGATAAGCTGAATTGTGTTTGGATTGGAATTCAGAAAAGCTAGTTTGTAAAAGTAAGATTGGTAAAAGGTTGTTTGGATTATGATTGAGTAAAAGTAAGTTTGTTTGTAAAATTACCAAAATGGGTATGAGTTTTAATAAGTAATGAAACATGATTAAAAAATGATTTTACATAATATAATGAATTAAAATTAATTTGTTATTGGATCTAGATATCCATTTGGTGTTGAATATTTCGCATCAACCAAGTAATATTTTTTTTAAAATACAATTTTTTTTTACCAAGAGAAATTTTATATAATTTTTTTTTAACTTGAGACAACTTTTATACGTGAGATACCTCAAAAAGACAATTTTTTTAAAATACACTGTTGTTAAATAAAATTTATAAATGAGCTTATAAGAATTTTACGTATTATTAATACGAATATCATATATTTTTCATAATTTAAAGTATATTAATTTTCAATAAATAAAATATAAAAAATTGAAAAATTTTTATTCACGTAGAAGAAGAGTAAATTCTTACTACTATTTATCACAACCTGAACTCTTTAGATTATTATATTTAAACAATTTACTGCTTAATTTTAAATTTTTAATTAATTAAACAAAATCAAATTAAAAAAAAGAAGGAAAAAAAAACAACAGCTACGCCAATTGTACTCAAATAGCAACGGGCTAACAGAGGGGAATAAACGAAGAGGAAAGGTCAGAATTGGAAGGTGGACCCCACCTACATATACAGTTCCAGCGGTAAGCCCGATTTGACTCTCATAAGCTACAAATATCAGTTTATGTAAAAGTCCGTTTCAATTCAGCTTTTTGGGCCCAAGTCAGATGACTTATAAGCTCTGCCAAACACCCTCCAACTTTCCAAACGGGCTTATCAGAAAAATAAGTAGCTTTTAGAGCCTCAATCGCTGATCCAAACAAGCACTTAAACAAAGATAAGAAGTAAAGAGATTTGATTTCTCTTTGCGGCATTTGGAAAGACATTCTAAATCTAGAGTTAGATCTACCCCACTCAACATGATATAAATTAAAAATAAGTGGATTGAGCACCCTGTCTCTAGTTTGTATTGAGCCCAAAAACCTACCTAAAATTTAGGTACCAAAATTCTTATTTTAAAAATGGCCGCTTCAAGGATTTTTTTTTTTTTTAATTGGCACTTCAAAGGGCATATTCTTTAGTGAATATGTGAAACTATATTTTTCATACTATAACTTTATATAAAATTTCACGTTTTTAAAATAATTTTTAATTCTTTAATACTAATATCATTATTGTCAAAACATTATTTTTTTAACTTACGTTATTATTTTTAAAAAGTAAACTTAACATGTGAGTATTTGTAAATATTCTATTAACAATTAAAATCTTAACGTTAACATTCTTTTTGTCAATGAAATTAATGAATGTTATGGCTAGAGGACCAAAAAAAAAACATTTAATAAAATTTAAAGACCAAAATAAAATTTTATATAAAATTAAAGAACTAAAGGAACAATTTCATCACTAAAAAGGCAAAAAATACCGTATCACTATCAAATGCAAGTTACTAATATGCCTAGAACACTTAACTTTTAAATCATAAAACATTTCGTTAATAGTACAAGGATATGCTATCATGTAAGGTCTAATGACCCATTCTGTCTAATGACCCAAAAATTTATCAATCGCCAAGAAACTTTCGCTTTTTAGTTGTGTTCATGTAAGGTCTAATGACCCATTCTGTTTGAGCTGTATCCTGATCAACTGTTCCCAACTTTATCTGCAACAATTTGAAAGAACATGAGTAACTTGCTAATCAAGGCACAGCTCGATACAATAAAATCTAGGGGGATTGATATAAAGTCCACGGAACGAAATATAATTACTAAAAAATCCTAAGGATAATAGAGCAGCGTATATTGACAAGTTCAAATGTAAGGCATGATAACTTCTTACTTGCCTTTGAGACTTTGATTTTTTTTTTTTTTTTTTTTTGGGACAGCATAGTAATTCTCCCTAAAATTCTACCATCTCTCGTACAAGTTTCAGCAATGATCATACATGAGGAAATCCAAGTAATGTAACTTATGTAGAGCAGGCTAATGACATAGAAAGCGCAAGGATACACAGGTTTCAATAAACAGAAATAAGGTGCTAAAGATTAATGGTGTGCGCACCAATTACGGTAAAATGTATAAAATTCATGGTTTTTTCTCATTATATGAGTGAAATCTACTCTCAACTGATGAATTTTCAACCAGACAAGTCTATGACCCTATTATTTAGTTAATTAGGCTGATGCCCAAGAATCAATAAAATAATATCTTAGTGGTATAAATACAATAAGCAAAATGAAATGATTATTAAAACTGCTAGAGCTGAAGTGGGGAAGAATCATCCAAGTTACTTAAACAAAAATCTACTTGAATGGCTGCTGGAGAATTTAATTTCTTGAGGATAATCTTAATTGCAGAACAATCTAGAGAGAGAGGAAGGTCAGACCTGATAAAGCCGCAACTCAAATCGAGGTCCAATCTCCTTCAAGTCAACAGATTTAGGCCCCCCATGCTTTTCATATATATGATGCCTGTATGTGACACTCATTAATGAAACACACACACGTGCATATGAAGTGTTAAAGACACTGGTAATTTCACAGGACGAGGAAAAAAACGCCAGTCCACAATAGTTAGGTTAAGCAATAGTGAATGAACAAAATACTGCAAAACCCCAATATGACTTCGCTCAAAAATTCATGTGATATGGGAATGATCATTGAGACATAGTGGAAGAACATTCTCATAATTATGCGTCTAATCTTAAATATAAAGGTAATTCCTGCCATATCTATATCTCCTTTCCTCCAAGACTTTTAGCCAACTGCATCCCCTACAGTCAGAAGGCTTACCGCAGGGGGTACATTTTGCCTTATAAAGAGGTCTGTGAAAACTTCCGCTAAGGAGGGGCTATACAGAGTGTAATCATTATGGCAAATTGGTGATGCATTTGGAAGTTGTATTGATAAAACAAAAGCCAAACATCATCCATAGCAAGCAATATTAAACTAACCTGAAAGAGATATAATCAGATTGATTGGAAAAAGTAATAATGCGCTTCGTATCTGGCTTTGGCACTGGAAAAAGATGCTTCAGAATGTTTGCTGTCCTTTGCCCTAGCTGATGATGCCAATTTACAATTCCAAACATAATAAGTAATTTCACATAAGTTGGCAGAAGAAAATAATTGTTACACATTCAGTCAATACAAAAAATGTGAAAAGCAAAAGGGTGATGCAAATAGATCTGTATTTTTATTATTACCAGAAATTAATGAAATGGCATTGAATTAAAACATCCACATAACATATCGTACAACTTTTCAGAATGTTCAAGTCAATTTTTAACACAACATCATCCTCCATCAGTTAATTTAACATGACATTTACTTTTAAGATTTTTGGTCCTTTTCTTTTTTCTTAATCAGTAAGATATCAAAACATGACGGTGTAGGACCTGAAGGCATTAAGATGCAACAGTGTTAGGAGCTGATAGAGAAGCAACCAACAGACCACGACGCAGACAACTAAAATTTTAACTAGATTGATATGTGAAATATAGTATCACACGGAAAATGCTATACCTTAGTTGAGAAGTTATCAAGAATCAAATGTGGATAGGCCTCAGGTATGGTGCCAACAGCTTTCTTATCTTTAATGTCGTGCCTTGTGACCTATAGGAAAACAATTAATTACTATATTTCTTCCTAAAGTAAATAACAAATATCAAAAGACCAAACACTTACCACATTGAGTAGTCCAAAATATGCAGTTGGACCAAATGGTAGGTGGCTAATAATTAAACCATCTGGCACACCACGATGTTCATGGGCCAAGACAACATCTGTGAAGTCATGTGCACGGCATGTCTCTATAATCTCAGAGATAACCTGAAAAGAAGAGAAGAGGTATTATCTGTGGCTGCATTTAACAAGACCCACTCCTCATTAGTTGAATTCATTGCAGCTGGACAAGTGGAGGAGGCCGTGGGACAGATGGTCCACAGGTTTACAGTCAGAAGGAAAGATGTATTATCAAAAGGCCTTAACATTGATCCTGAAACTGAAAAGATTGTGCTCTTGGTAAAGTACATGGCCCAAGTTACATTGGCTGCAACGCAAGGAAGCAAATGGGTTGGTAGTGGGCCTCTGCTAATTGAATATGGATACAAAGCAAAGGGACTAAACTTCAGAAGTATTACTCTGGTTCAAGTTCAGAAGTATTGTACGTTAAGCTACAGCTTGTGATTTCACCTGCTTCCATTACTTTGAATGCCATTGAACAGTACTAGTGAGAAGCAGCTTTCAGATTTTAATACCTAAGTTCCTCTGCAATTCTTAGAACTTTAGAAGTTATAACCTTTTGTCTTAGTACTCTCTTGGCAGAGGGGGTATAGTTGCATAATCATAATTACGTAAGGGACAAGATTAGGACTTATTATTAGCAAGGAAAGTATCAAGAAATGACCATTAGAATCAGAGCTTTGACTGAGGAATTGCATTAGGTACGTATAAAGGATATTAAGTACATTATTAGAGACAACAGAATGAGGGCAAAAAAGCAATGTTAATTGCTAATATGCAATAAGGTCATGCATTACCTACAGTGCCTAACAGTAAACCATGAATTGATGTCATAAGGAACTTCAATGACAAGAAGCGTTAGGACCATGTTAGTATAATAAAATTTTTACAAATGACCCACCATATCTAAAATAGGAATCATAAGGGCATTAACTAAAGAAAGCCCAAATAAAAGACTCTTCATCCTTCACTTGAGTGTAGAATAGTGGTTAAGAAGGGAATGTTACCAACCTGACCACCTCGATTCATTCTTTGTGCATTTGGGAAGACAATACTCAATTCCTACAACAACAAAAAAAAGAAAAAAGGGTGACGGTGAAGCTCAGAAATTGTCTGAAACCACAAAAAATTGAAATAAAATTAATTTTCAATGAATAATTAAGAAAAAATGACCACAAACAAAGTATGCAACCTTTACAAACTGTGTAAGAGGAGCACTTGGATTCCTAGATGTGGTTAGCAAAATTTTTGGATCTTTTTCCGTAGCCCTTGCGTACTCATCATCAATGTGAGTTCTTGGAACTGAGTTATAGAGTATAGACCACAAAGAAGAAAAATATCAGCAATTTATAAGTCATGTCAAACGCCACATTAAAATATACAACTTAGGGCAACAAAACAAACTGCAGTAAAGAGCATTATAACAAGAACTCATCCTTTAGACATTAAAAGGCTGTGCAAATAATTCTTATGACAAATTAAATGTCCTCGTTAACCAATTCAAACTTTCAATAATTGGGTTGAAGCCAAATGAACATTTTGCTGTTAGTTCCCCATTGAGACCCATTTTGATTACCTCATAGGAACATTTTGCATTAGTTCCCATTATACCGAGACCGGTTGTAATTACTTCATTATGTAACATAAGAAAGGATTCAGAGTAGTATACATGAAAGTTCAGATTATTGAAATGAAGAACATAGTTCCGGAAAAAAAAAAAAAATCAGCTGAAGTTAACCAAATGAAAAGAGCTAAACATATGGGCTTAGATTTGTGATGTGGAGCGGATAAATATAGAATTGAAGGAAGCATACCAGCTGTATTTTCGTCCTCGAGGTCAATCTCTCGGCGAAGGGCCGCCTCCTCGTTTCTAAGCTCAGTGGGGATTGGTTTCCCTTCTGCAAAACGGAAAGCAAAATCCAAAGGTTCACAATTTGAAACAACCAAACACAAACATATTTTCGAAGAAGAAAGGTCAAAAGCAGTACTAACCTTGAAGAGCTTCTCTTATCTTGCGCTTCTTCTCATAAAGCAAACGCTCTTTTCCTTCCAAACTCTTTCTATATAGATACTCTCTCCTCAAGCGGATATTTCTGCGCAGCATTGTTCCAAGCTCAACAGAACCTGTGAGAGAAGAGGGACTGAGAAAGAACGAGGAGATGGGGGAGACAACGACTCTTCAATTGGGAAAGGGGTCGCCGCCAACGGAAGGGTTTTGGACCTTTCTTGGTTGCCAACGGAAGGGTCTCGGCTTTGGACGAAGGGAATTGGCAGCAGGAAGAGACTAAAAGAACGGGGAAAAAAATTAAAAACAAATTTATGTTTTTTAGGTTTTAATGATTATTCTTAAAAAATCATATTTGAGATTAAAAAATATAAAAACTTGCTTTAAATAATTATTATCTAAATTGACAAATAAATAAAAATCTAAAATAGAAAAACCATGTTCTACGTCTTATAATTTTGGTCAAATTTGGTAAAATTTGGTCAAAGTCCTTCTATTAGCGGATATAACTTAATAACGTTAAAAATGATTATTGGTATGATTGAAGAGTTTTTATGGAAATGAAAGAGGAATTAAAAGTGGAAGTGGAAATAGAATTGGAAGTAGAAGTCGGGTTTAAAATGTGTTAGGTATGCCTAGATTATTTTTAATTTATATATGTAAATAAAATATGAGTTTACTAAACACCCCTTCAAATAAAAGGGAAGAAAAAGCCTCCTTTCCGCCTAAACTCATTCACCGTGATAAACCATTAGAAAAAAATTTCTCGTCTGCAAACTCAATCTAGCACCAAGGCAGTCACAATACAAGAATTGAATTGAAAAGAACAACTCCAATAGCAAATAAATGGCAATTTATCTGGATCTAATCCAGATGTTAAGAAAAATTAGGGGAAAAAAAACTAATCCCATTTTCATGACCATTCCGTCATTATTGGAGATGGAGCTTTGTTCTCAACAAACTTCGCCACTGAGATTTGCTCATTGTTGCAGAAAGAGAAATGGGCCACTTTGCCACTGAGATTTGCTCATTGTTGCAGAAAGAGAAATGGGCCACTTTGCCACTGAGATTTGCTCATTGTTGCAGAAAGAGAAATGGGCCACTTTGCCACTGAGATTTGCTCATTGTTGCAGAAAGAGAAATGGGCCACCATCGTTCCTTTACTTGGAGGTGAAGATTGGGTGGAGGTTGTCAGCTTCGTGTTCGAAAGTAATGGTAAAGGTCATCAAACCGATAGGCAAATGTCGTCACTTTCATATTCTGGAAGTGGGTGCTAGAGGGAAATGAGTGAAATACGTCTACTGTGTGAAGATGAGTGTAACATCCGGTTTTTTAATTAAGAATTTATGAGTAATTAAGTTTGATTGTAATATGATTTTGAGGTGTTAATAGTTGTTTGAAGTGTATAAGAAAAAATGGGTAAGCTAGAGATTGTGAGACCGTTTTGTGGCTCCGTGTTTTCTGCCTTGGTAGAAGGAGAAGATCGCCACGACACATGGCATAAAAAGGGGAAGGGATATGCTCTCTGTGTTCTTTGCTGTGGCAATGTTCACGGCAAATATCATAGAGGGGAGACTTGATCGCTTTTGTGAAGTTTGCCATGGTGAAGGGTTATATTTGCCGTGGGCAAACGTGCCTGGAATTCAAATTATTGGGCTTCTGTGTTTTTGGCCGAGGCTCGCAAAAATGCTAATAAAACCAAGCATAAAAAATGTGAAAAACAGAAGGAGAAGGGAGGAGGAGCGAAAGAGCTCTATGAGGGTTTGTGGTTTTCAACCTTAAGGAATGTTTTTGAGCTTCCAAACCTTCAAGTAAGTTATTCTAACTTGTTTTCTACCTTCTTTCCTTAGTTTTTCTTAGATTTTGAAAGTTGGGGTTTTTAGAGTTCTTGAGAATTTTGAAATTTTTGAGTTTTTGACCAAATCTTTTAGGTTCGTTTGAGTTATTTGGGTTAAATAAGAGATTTAATTGGTTTAGTTTTGTTGGATTTTAATTTATATAGAACTTCAAGGTTAGGGTTTGATATTGGGAGTGAGATTTGTTGAGTTTTAATAATGTGGTGATGAAAGTGATATTTTGTTGATTGGGTTTGATTTATTGAGGATAGATAAGAGTTTTAATTGGTTTAGATTGTTGATATTAATGGTTTTTCAATGTTGGGGGTATGTTGGAAGTTGAAAATTCTAAGTCTGAGACTTAAGGATTAATTAGATGATTATTGTTGAGGTTAATCAAGGTGTCTGAGTTAATTGGATGGAAGTATTGATAAATATAACTTTGGACTGGAAATGTGATGCTTGAACATATGGTATGTGAATGGAATAAATATAACTTTGGAAATGTGATGCTTGAACATAAAGAAAAAGGATGAAAAAGGGATAAAATAACCCTAGAAATGTCTCAAACTCATGCCAATGTGATTCTAGTAAGATGATTGAATTTTGAGTTGAAACTTGGCAGATTAGATCATATTTTTTATCTTTAAAATAAGTGTTATTTCATCAAAACTAGAGTTTTGTACAAAAGTTATGCCTATCCAAAGTTAGGCATAAATTCTAGAAAATTAAAAATTTATCATATGAACAGCTTTAAGTAAAACAAGTGGTACTTTGCATTGATTCTGGGAATGATTGATAAAGTGTTGGTACCAAAGAACATTCTTTCTCTAAAGATCATGTTAAGAGTTTTAAGTAAAACTTGAAACCACTTCATTTTGATTTTTCTAAAATTAGTTATGATTTTTCAAATTTTGGCCTTTGTTTAGGGTTACATGAGATGAATTTTAAATTTTGAATTTTTCTATCTTGAGGCCATAAGAAGTGGTTCCAAATGGTTTTATTTGAAGGGTTATATGGTCTAAAAAGAAGGTGTGACATCCCATATTTAGAGCAACCTTTATAGGTCCAACCATATCTCGTTTCAAGCTTGTGAATAATACAATTAATGACAAAAGTGTCTCCCTGTCATACTCATTAAGTATAAACACATGCAAATAAATTCAAATAACAAATTTAACAAAAACAAACAAAAGCAAAAATATGTGCATAGAGACTAATCATTGGTTGATCTTTTATTTGAGAGATATTTATCTTATTTTGGTTACGTCACATGGTAGATTGGGATCTTATATTTAAGACCAAAATAAAAATCAAACGAGTTTTTATATTAAGAATTAGAGGTAATAATAAACAAGAAAACAAATAAAATAAAATAAAGGAAACTGAAATAAGATAAAATCAAATCAAATCATCTACTCCTTTTGCATTTTTTACAAGGACATCGTATTTTGCTTGTCACTCCATTCTGAGTAAAAGCCCATTCGAGAAAACCATCTACTCCTTTAATATATCTTAGGTTGCCTCTGTCTTTAATATCTAACCAACTTTTATCCATTTCTATTTCACAAAAGTTGAAGATTAATGTAAGAAAAGGAAAAACAATAAATATTAAAGTGCAAGAAATAAATAGAAATGAATAAGGTTGAGTTGACCAAGAAAAGAAAATTATATATGATATATATATGTATCTTACTTCTAAAAAGCTGATTCATTTCAACGCAGTATATAAGCCAAACTAACAAAGTATCACAGAGTCAACGCAAACGCAAGGTGAAGATGATAAACTGTTAACTTACAAGTGACAAGAGCTTTACTACTCGCCCTAGCTAGTAATCCTTTTTGCTTGCACCACCGTATATGCCTACAATAATAAGGACCAGACATTATAATGGGAAGGAAACCAAAGGTCCCAAGACACCTAATATATATACCTATAACTAATACTATTAATCACAACACTAAAGAATCTAAACAGTGGCATTTTACATGTCGCCACTTGAGGTCAATGCGTCTTATACGTATGCGTGAGGAAGGGTTCTAGGGAATAATTAAAGGGTGCAGCGACAAAAAGAAATGCACCAAAACAGAAAATTAGTTGGGTAATATCATCACATCCCCCCTAAACTGGTCATAATTTCCATTTCTTTCTCTTTTCGTAGCCGATAAGATAAACTCCATTGACTTCAAAACATCTTAAAGGGTATATAGCATTCATTACTGTCAATTGCACAAGTGCGCCATATGAACCACAAGTGCGCCATATGAAAATTGCACACAGCAACTAATTATGGACCACAAGTGCGTCATATGAACCATATTGCTCCACGAAACTTCAAGCCTTGTCCTTTGAGGCTCTACAGGCAGAGGAGAAGGTGGTACCACACAAAAATGACAGATATCTTACCACTGAGACCTAGTTCCTCGGGTTAATTTATTCTGCAGTTGCTGTCCTTTTCTCCGTCACGGACTCCAAAAACTCCGAGCACAACTTGTCGAGCTGTGGCAGAGAGTGTGTCGAATAGGGAAATATGGCCTCCCAAGGCTTCTCAGATGGAGCAGCAGACGAAATCAATGGAAAGCTGCTCTTTTTCAAGTTAAACTCTGGTAACTTCCCATACAGAGATGCATATCCATATTGTCCTGAAATCGAGGGAAAAAAGCAAAAATAAAAGGCATGAGGATTATACATTTAGAACCTATTATAACTAGTTTCATTGTCTGATGTTCAACTTGCTATATTCTAAATAAATAAATAAAATTAAAAGTACGTGAAAGCTATTTGATATAACTTAAAAAGTCCCAAGCCGCAATCAGGCTGGAGTGAACAGTGACGCGAGAAGTGAAGGATGAGAGGACTGTGACTTGAACATGGGAAATCATGGTGGGTTGATCCTTTCAGATATAGGGTATCTCTAATTGCCCCACCATTATCCATCTATCCATCTCTTTAGATACAGAGTATTTCTGGTAGCTTTGTTTTTCGTTGGTCAATTGACTCATGAAAAATCTTGCTACTCATAGAGATCACAGTTAGCTTTTCTAGTTTTTCTGTCTTATATATGAAGAAAAGCCAAGAGTAAATAAGAATAATGGATATCTAATGTGTAAACGGCAGGTCAGTAAAGATGCGAATGCTCAATTATCACATTTACTGTACGGCAATATGTAGATGCATTGTAGAAGAGGCGAATCCTATAATATACTACATATATATTGAGTTTCCATCCCTGATTGTTGGCTACATTTACAAAAACACAACCAACTCGGCAGAGCATGTTTTGGCATGAAAGTCAGAAACCTGGTGGTTATGACTGTGATTAGCATTGCAATTTGTTTGCTACCAGAGACAATAATTAAACATTGAGACTTTAGGAAGCTGA